GGGTGAGTGGGTGAGTGAGTGGGTGAGTGAGTGAGTGTGTGGGTGAGTGAGTGGGTGGGTGAGTGAGTGAGTAGGTGAGTGGGTGAGTGAGTGAGTGGGTGAGTGAGTGAGTGAGTGGGTGAGTGAGTGGGTGAGTGGGTGAGTGAGTGGGTGAGTGAGTGTGTGAGTGAGTGGGTGAGTGGGTGAGTGAGTGGGTGAGTGAGTGAGTGAGTGGGTGAGTGAGTGAGTGAGTGGGTGGGTGAGTGAGTGAGTAAGTGAGTGAGTGGGTGAGTGGGTGAGTGAGTGAGTGAGTGGGTGAGTGGGTGAGTGGATGATTGAGTGGGTGAGTGAGTGGGTGAGTGTGTGAGTGAGTGGGTGAGTGAGTGAGTGAGTGGGTGAGTGAGTGAGTGGGTGAGTGAGTGAGTGGGTGAGTGAGTGGGTGAGTGGGTGAGTGAGTGGGTGAGTGAGTGTGTGAGTGGGTGAGTGGGTGAGTGAGTGAGTGAGTGGGTGAGTGAGTGGGTGAGTGAGTGAGTGAGTGAGTGGGTGAGTGAGTGAGTGGGTGAGTGAGTGAGTGAGTGGGTGAGTGAGTGGGTGAGTGGGTGAGTGAGTGGGTGAGTGAGTGTGTGAGTGAGTGGGTGAGTGGGTGAGTGAGTGAGTGGGTGAGTGAGTGGGTGAGTGGGTGAGTGAGTGGGTGAGTGGGTGAGTGAGTGGGTGAGTGAGTGTGTGAGTGGGTGAGTGGGTGAGTGAGTGAGTGAGTGGGTGAGTGAGTGGGTGAGTGAGTGAGTGAGTGGGTGAGTGAGTGAGTGGGTGAGTGAGTGAGTGAGTGGGTGAGTGAGTGGGTGAGTGGGTGAGTGAGTGGGTGAGTGAGTGTGTGAGTGAGTGGGTGAGTGGGTGAGTGAGTGAGTGAGTGGGTGAGTGAGTGGGTGAGTGGGTGAGTGAGTGGGTGAGTGAGTGTGTGAGTGAGTGGGTGAGTGGGTGAGTGGGTGTGTGAGTGAGTGAGTGGGTGTGTGAGTGAGTGAGTGGGTGAGTGGGTGAGTGAGTGGGTGAGTGAGTGAGTGTGTGGGTGAGTGAGTGGGTGGGTGAGTGAGTGAGTAGGTGAGTGGGTGAGTGAGTGAGTGGGTGGGTGAGTGAGTGAGTGGGTGAGTGAGTGAGTGGGTGAGTGGGTGAGTGAGTGAGTGAGTGGGTGAGTGAGTGAGTGAGTGGGTGAGTGAGTGAGTGGGTGGGTGAGTGAGTGGGTGAGTGAGTGAGTGAGTGGGTGGGTGAGTGAGTGGGTGAGTGGGTGAGTGAGTGAGTGGGTGAGTGAGTGGGTGAGTGGGTGAGTGAGTGAGTGGGTCAGTGAGTGGGTGAGTGAGTGAGTGAGTGGGGGAGTGGGTGGGTGAGTGAGTGGGTGAGTGGGTGAGTGAGTGGGTGAGTGAGTGGGTGAGTGAGTGAGTGGGTGAGTGAGTGAGTGTGTGAGTGGGTGAGTCAGTGGGTGAGTGAGTGAGTAGGTGAGTGAGTGAGTGGGTGAGTGAGTGAGTGGGTGAGTGAGTGAGTGAGTGGGTGAGTGGGTGGGTGAGTGAGTGGGTGAGTGAGTGGGTGTGTGAGTGGGTGAGTCAGTGGGTGAGTGAGTGAGTAGGTGAGTGAGTGAGTGGGTGAGTGAGTGAGTGGGTGAGTGAGTGAGTGTGTGAGGCTACCTGGGGTAGCTTTGCCTTTGGGTTGAAGGCGCCGTGGGAGGGGAAGGAGAAAGTGAGGGGGCGTGGCCACCTGGCCAGTGGGCGTGGCCAATTGTCCAATGGGCGTGGCCAGACCCCAAGCACCCTTCCCCCCAGTTTCCATTGTACAGACAAAAGCGAGGCCATTCAAAAGGCCCTTTGTCCGAAACGTCTCCTGTTGAATGCCACAACAGACTAAAGGTCGGGGCAAGTGCAGTGTTAGACGCACACAGACAAAGCTCCCCCAGGTAGCCTCTAGCAGGGGCTGTAGGGGCAAGTGCAGTGTTAGACACACACAGACAAAGCTCCCCCAGGTAGCCTCTAGCAGGGCTGTAGGGGCAAGTGCAGTGTTAGACACACACAGACAAAGCTCCCCCAGGTAGCCTCTAGCAGGGATGTGCGCTAACCACTGCACCACCACTCTCCACTCACACAGTGCGCTAACCACTGCACCACCACTCCCCACTCACACACACACAGTGCGCTAACCACTGCACCACCACTCCCCACTCACACAGTGCGCTAACCACTGCACCACCACTCCCCACTCACACACACACACACAGTGCGCTAACCACTGCACCACCACTCCCCACTCACACACACACAGTGCGCTAAGCACTACACCACCACTCCCCACTCACAGACACACACAGTGCGCTAACCACTGCACCACCACTCCCCACACACACACACAGTGCGCTAACCACTGCACCACCACTCCCCACTCACACACACACAGTGCGCTAAGCACTACACCACCACTCCCCACTCACACACACACAGTGCGCTAACCACTGCACCACCACTCTCCACACACACAGTGCGCTAATCACTGCACCACCGCTCCACACACACACAGTGCGCTAACCACTGCACCACCACTCCCCACACACACACAGCGCTAACCACTGCACCACCACTCACCACTCACACACACACAGTGCGCTAACCACTGCACCACCACTCCCCACTCACACACACACAGTGCGCTAACCACTGCACCACCACTCACCACTCACACACACACAGTGCGCTAACCACTGCACCACCACTCACCACTCACACACACACAGTGCGCTAACCACTGCACCACCACTCCCCACTCACACACACACAGTGCGCTAACCACTGCACCACCACTCACCACTCACACACACACAGTGCGCTAACCACTGCACCACCACTCCCCACACACACACAGTGCGCTAACCACTGCACCACCACTCCCCACACACACACAGTGCGCTAACCACTGCACCACCACTCCTCACACACACAGTGCGCTAACCACTGCACCACCACTCCCCACTCACACACACAGTGCGCTAACCACTGTACCACCACTCCCCACACACACAGCGTGCGCTAACCACTACACCACCACTCCCCACTCACACACACACACAGTGCGCTAACCACTACACCACCACTCCCCACACACACACACAGTGCGCTAACCACTGCACCACCACTCCCCACACACACAGTGCGCTAACCACTGCACCACCACTCCCCACACACACAGTGCGCTAACCACTGCACCACCACTCCCCACTCACACACACACAGTGCGCTAACCACTCCACCACCACTCCCCCCCACACACACACAGTGCGCTAACCACTGCACCACCACTCCTCACACACACACAGTGCGCTAACCACTGCACCACCACTCCCCACTCACACACAGTGCGCTAACCACTGCACCACCACTCCCCCCACACACACAGTGCGCTAACCACTGCACCACCACTCCACACACACAGTGCGCTAACCACTGCACCACCACTCCCCACTCACACACACAGTGCGCTAACCACTGCACCACCACTCCCCACTCACACACACAGTGCGCTAACCACTACACCACCACTCCCCATTCACACACACACACAGTGCGCTAACCACTGCACCACCACTCCCCCCCACACACACACAGTGCGCTAACCACTGCACCACCACTCCTCACACACACACACAGTGCGCTAACCACTGCACCACCACTCCCCACACACACAGTGCGCTAACCACTGCACCACCACTCCCCACACACACACACAGCGCTAACCACTGCACCACCACTCCCCACTCACACACACACAGCGCTAACCACTGCACCACCACTCTCCACACACACAGTGCGCTAATCACTGCACCACCACTCCCCACACACACACACAGTGCGCTAACCACTGCACCACCACTCCCCACACACACACAGCGCTAACCACTGCACCACCACTCACCACTCACACACACACAGTGCGCTAACCACTGCACCACCACTCCCCACTCACACACACACAGTGCGCTAACCACTGCACCACCACTCACCACTCACACACACACAGTGCGCTAACCACTACACCACCACTCCCCATTCACACACACACACAGTGCGCTAACCACTACACCACCACTCCCCATTCACACACACACAGTGCGCTAACCACTGCACCACCACTCCCCACACACACAGCGTGCGCTAACCACTGCACCACCACTCCACACACACACAGCGTGCGCTAACCACTACACCACCACTCCCCACTCACACACACACACAGTGCGCTAACCACTACACCACCACTCCCCACACACACACACAGTGCGCTAACCACTGCACCACCACTCCCCATCTCTACTTAACTCCTCCCACCCCCCCCCCCCCCCACTTAGCGCCTCCCCCATTCACACCCCCCGCAACTGCCGATCCTGTAGCTCCTCCCCCCTCCACATAGCTCCTCCCCCTTCTCACTCAGCTGCTCCCCCACCTTCACCCCCCCCCCTTCCCACTGAGCTCCTCCCCCCTCCTCAAAGCCCCTCCTCCTTCTCACTCAGCTCCTCCCTCACCTTCCCACTCAGCACCTCCCCCCTTTAAGCCCCCCCCCCCTTCCCACTCGGCCCCTCCCCCTTTCTCCCTCAGCTCCTGCCCCCTCCTCCTAGCCCCTCACCTACCAGCTGCTTCCTCAACTTCCCACTAAGCCCCTCCCCTTTTTCCCTAGCCCCGCCCCCACCTTCCCACTCAGCCCCTCCTCCACCCTTCCCACTCGGGCCCTCCCCCCCCTCCTTTTTCTGTAGCCCCTCCCCCTTCTCATCGCCCCTCCCCCCACCTTCCCACGCAACCCCTCCCCTCCTCCTCCTAGCCCCGCCCCCTACCTTACCACTCGGCCCCCCCCCCACCTTACCACCCAGCCCCCCCCCCCCTTCTTCTCTTTAGCTCCTCCCACCCCACGCCCCTCCCCCAACCCACGCCCCTCCCCCAACCCACGCCCCTCCCCCTCCCTACCTCACGCCCCTCCCACCCTAAGCCCCTCCCCCTCACTATATAAACCTCCCGGCACGCGCTACTCTCACTCAGCTGTCCAGCGAAAGGCATTCATCGATCAGCCTTATCGATCGATCAGCCTATCGATCGATCTTCGGCCGGCCAATCAGAGGTGAGCTGTTGCTGGATGTTGCTCATTGCGGGTTTGAATTCGTTTGCTGGAGAGAGGTTGTGTGTGGTTCTGACGAACCGGTTCACAGTGATGGTGAACCGGTTTACTGTGTTAACCGGTTAAATGACTCACTCACCCTCTCACTCACTCAGTCACCCACTCACTCACTCACCCACTCACTCAGTCACTCACTCACCCACTCACTCACCCTCTCACTCACCCACTCATTCACCCTCTGACTCACTCACTCATTCACCCACTCACCCAGTCACTCACTCACCCACTCACTCGCTCACCCACTCACTCACTCACCCACTCACTCACTCACCCACTCACTCAGTCACTCACTCACCCACTCACTCACCCTCTCACTCACTCACCCTCTCACTCACCCACTCATTTACCCTCTGACTCACTCACTCATTCACCCACTCACCCAGTCACTCACTCACTCACCCACTCACCCGCTCAGTCACTCACTCACTCACCCACTCACTCACCCACTCACTCACCCACTCACTCACTCACCAACTCGCTCACCCACCCACTCACTCACCCACTCACTCACTCACCCTCTCACTCACTCAGTCACTCACTCACCCACTCACTCACCATCTCACTCACCCACTCATTCACCCTCTGACTCACTCATTCACCCACTCACCCACTCAGTCACTCACTCACTCACCCACTCACCCACCAACCCACTCACCCACTCACTCACTCGCCCACCCACCTACTCACTCACCCAGTCACTCACCCAGTCACTCACCCAGTCACTCACTCACCCAGTCACTCACTCACCTAGTCACTCACCCACTCACTCACTCACTCACCCGCTCACTCACTCACCCAGTCGCACACTCAGTCACCCACTCACCCAGTCACTCACCCACTCACTCACCCAGTCACTCAGTCACTCACTCACCCACTCACCCACTCACTCACCCGCTCACTCACTCACCCAGTCACTCACTCACCCAGTCACCCAGTCACCCACTCACTCACCCAGTCACTCACCCAGTCACTCACTCACCCAGTCACCCACTCACCCACTCACTCACCCATTCACTCACTCACCCAGTCACTCACTCACCCCCTCACTCACCCAGTCACTCACCCACCCACTCACTCACGCACACACCCACTCACTCACTCACCCGCTCACTCACGCACCCAGTCACTCACCCACGCACTCACCCACTCACTCACTCACCCACTCACCCGCTCACTCACTCACCCACTCACTCACTCACTCACCCGCTCACTCACTCGCCCACTCACTCACCCACTCACTCACCCACCCACTCACTCACCCACTCACTCACCCACTCACTCACTCACCCACTCACTCACCCACTCACTCACCCACTCACTCACCCACTCACCCACTCACTCACTCACTCACCCACCCACTCACTCACCCAACCTCCCACTCACTCACCCACTCACTCACCCACTCACTCACCCACCCACCCACTCACCCACTCACTCACCCACCCACCCACTCACTCACCCACCCACCCACTCACTCCCCCACCCACCCACCCACTCACTCCCCCACCCACCCACCCACTCACCCACCCACCCACTCACCCACTCACTCACCCACCCACCCACTCACTCCCCCACTCACTCACCCACTCACTCACCCACTCACTCACCCACCCACCCATTCACCCACCCACTCACTCCCCCACCCACCCACCCACTCACTCACCCACTCACTCACTCACCCACTCACCCACCCACTCACTCACCCATTCACCCACCCACTCACTCTCCCACCCACCCACCCATTCACCCACCCACTCACTCCCCCACCCACCCACCCATTCACTCCCCCACCCACCCACCCATTCACCCACCCACTCCCCCACCCACCCACCCATTCACCCACCCACTCACTCACCCATTCACCCACCCACTCACTCCCCCACCCACCCACTCACTCACCCACTCACTCTGTGTGTGTGTGGAGTGTGCAGGGCAGCAGTAGAGAAAGCAATGCGAGTCACGTGGTGGTGCTACAGCTGCATGTTGGTGGTGGTGGTGAGCAGAGCAGCAGCGTCAGGTGAGGTGGTGGGTGGTGAGTGGGTGAGTGGGTGAGTGGGTGGGTGAGTGAGTGGGTGAGTGAGTGAGTGGGTGAGTGGGTGGGTGAGTGAGTGAGTGAGTTGGTGGGTGGGTAAGTGAGTGAGTGAGTTGGTGGGTGGGTAAGTGAGTGAGTGAGTTGGTGAGTTAGTGGGTGGGTGAGTGAGTGAGTGGGTGAGTGAGTGAGTGGGTGGGTGAGTGAGTGGGTGAGTGAGTGGGTGAGTGAGTGAGTGGGTGAGTGGGTGGGTGAGTGAGTGAGTGAGTTGGTGGGTGGGTAAGTGAGTGAGTGAGTTGGTGGGTGGGTAAGTGAGTGAGTGAGTTGGTGAGTTAGTGGGTGGGTGAGTGAGTGAGTGGGTGAGTGAGTGAGTGGGTGGGTGAGTGAGTGGGTGAGTGAGTGGGTGAGTGAGTGAGTGGGTGAGTGGGTGGGTGAGTGAGTGAGTGAGTTGGTGGGTGGGTAAGTGAGTGAGTGAGTTGGTGGGTGGGTAAGTGAGTGAGTGAGTTGGTGAGTTAGTGGGTGAGTGAGTGAGTGAGTGGGTGAGTGAGTGAGTGGGTGGGTGAGTGAGTGGGTGAGTGAGTGGGTGAGTGAGTGAGTGGGTGAGTGGGTGGGTGAGTGAGTGAGTGAGTTGGTGGGTGGGTAAGTGAGTGAGTGAGTTGGTGAGTTAGTGGGTGGGTGAGTGAGTGGGTGAGTGGGTGGGTGGGTGAGTGAGTGAGAGAGTGGGTGGGTGAGTGAGTGAGTGGGTGAGTGAGTGGGTGAGTGAGTGAGTGGGTGAGTGGGTGAGTGAGTGGGTGGGTGAGTGAGTAGGTGGGTGAGTGAGTTGGTGAGTGAGTGGGTGAGTGAGTGAGTGGGTGAGTGGGTGAGTGAGTGGGTGAGTGAGTGGGTGAGTGAGTGAGTGAGAGAGTGGGTGGGTGAGTGAGTGGGTGAGTGAGTGGTTGAGTGGGTGAGTGAGTGAGTGGGTGGGTGAGTGAGTGAGTGGGTGGGTGAGTGAGTGAGTGAGTGAGTTGGTGGGTGGGTGAGTGAGTGGGTGAGTGGGTGGGTGGGTGAGTGAGTGAGAGAGTGGGTGAGTGAGTGGGTGAGTGAGTGGGTGAGTGAGTGAGTTGGTGAGTGAGTGAGTGAGTGGGTGAGTGGGTGAGTGAGTGAGTGAGTGGGTGGGTGAGTGCGTGAGTGGGTGGGTGAGTGAGTGGGTGAGTGAGTGGGTGAGTGGGTGAGTGGGTGAGTGGGTGAGTGGGTGAGTGAGTGGGTGAGTGGGTGAGTGAGTGAGTGGGTGAGTGGGTGGGTGGGTGAGTGGGTGAGTGGGTGAGTGGGAGATTAAGTGGATGAGTGGGTGAGTGGGTGAGTGAGTGGGTGGGTGAGTGAGTGAGTGAGTGGGTGAGTGAGTGGGTGGGTGAGTGAGTGAGTGGGTGAGTGGGTGAGTGAGTGAGTGGGTGAGTGGGAGATTAAGTGGATGAGTGGGTGGGTGAGTGGGTGGGTGGGTGTCTGGGTGAATGAATGAGTGGGTAGGTGGGTGAGTGGGTGAGTGGGTGAGTGGGTCGGTGGGTGAGTGGGTGGGTGGGTGAGTGGTTGGGTGAGTGGTTGGGTGAGTGGTTGGGTGAGTGGTTGGGTGAGTGGTTGGGTGAGTGGTTGGGTGAGTGGTTGTGTGAGTGGTTGAGTGAGTGGTTGGGTGAGTGGGTGGGTGGGTGTTTGGGTGAATGAATGAGTGGGTAGGTGGGTGAGTGGGTGGGTGGGTGAGTGGGTGGGTGAGTGGGTGAGTGGGTGAGTGGGTGGTTGAGTGGGTGGGTGAGTGAGTCGGTGGGTGGGTGGGTGAGTGAGTCGGTGGGTGGGTGGGTGAATGAATGAGTGGGTAGGTGGGTGATTGGGTGAGTGGGTGGGTGAGTGGGTGAGTGGGTGGGTGAGTGAGTGAGTGGGTGAGTGGGTGGGTGATTGGGTGGATTGGTGAGTTGATGACACACACACACAGACACAATTCCAGGCGCGCCCTCGGCAGGCGTTGCCAGGGATAACACCCTGGCAGCTAAAGCGTCGCTCGTGATCGGGTTTAGCAGCTTTACCCTTTAATCCGGTTAAGGCGATCAAATAGACTCAACACTGCCCCATAGACTCAACACTGCCCCATAGACTCAACACTGCCACCCATAGACTCAACACTGCCCCATAGACTCAACACTGCCCCATAGACTCAATACTGCTACCCATAGACTCAACACTGCACCATAGACTCAGCACTGCACCATACACTCAACACAGCCCATAGACTCAGCACTGCACCATAGACTCAGCACTGCACAATAGACTCAACACAGCCCATAGACTCAACACTTCACAATAGACTCAACACTGCCCATAGACTCAGCACTGCCCATAGACTCAGCACTACACCATAGACTCAACACTGCGCATAGACTCAACACTGCACCATAGACTCAACACTGCCCATAGACTCACCACTGCACCATAGACTCAACACTGCACCATAGACTCAACACTGCACCATAGACTCAGCACTGCCCATAGACTCACCACTGCACCATAGACTCAACACAGCCCATAGACTCAGCACTGCACCATAGACTCAGCACTGCCCCATAGACTCAACACTGCACCATAGACTCAACACTGCACCATAGACTCAACACAGCCCATAGACTCAGCACTGCCCATAGACTCAACACTGCCCATAGACTCAACACTGCCCACAGACTCAGCACTGCACCATAGACTCAGCACTGCACCATAGACTCAACACAGCCCATAGACTCAGCACTGCACCATAGACTCAGCACTGCACAATAGACTCAACACAGCCCATAGACTCAACACTTCACAATAGACTCAACACTGCCCATAGACTCAGCACTGCCCATAGACTCAGCACTACACCATAGACTCAGCACTACACCATAGACTCAACACTGCGCATAGACTCAACACTGCACCATAGACTCAACACTGCCCATAGACTCACCACTGCACCATAGACTCAACACTGCACCATAGACTCAACACTGCACCATAGACTCAGCACTGCCCATAGACTCACCACTGCACCATAGACTCAACACAGCCCATAGACTCAGCACTGCACCATAGACTCAGCACTGCACAATAGACTCAACACAGCCCATAGACTCAACACTTCACAATAGACTCAACACTTCACAATAGACTCAACACTGCCCATAGACTCAGCACTGCCCATAGACTCAGCACTACACCATAGACTCAACACTGCACCATAGACTCATCACTGCCCATAGACTCAACACTGCCCATAGACTCACCACTGCACCATAGACTCAACACTGCACCATAGACTCAACACTGCACCATAGACTCAACACTGCACCATAGACTCAGCACTGCCACCCATAGACTCAACACTGCCATCTGTAGACTCAACACTGCCACCCATAGACTCAGCACTGCCAACCATAGACTCAGCACTGCCACCCATAGACTCAGCACTGCACCATAGACTCAACACTGCACCATAGACTCAACACTGCACCATAGACTCAACACTGCACCATAGACTCAACACTGCACCATAGACTCAGCACTGCACCATAGACTCAACACTGCCCCATAGACTCAACACTGCACCATAGACTCAACACTGCACCATAGACTCAGCACTGCACAATTGACTCAACACTGCACCATAGACTCAACACTGCACCATAGACTTAACACTACCACCCATAGACTCAGCACCTGATGAATATTAATGAGCCTGCTGTTAAAATGCTAATGAGTGCACATTGTCAAGTACTGGTGTTTTAATGTTAATTTGAATGTTAATGTGTGTCGTCAACTCATGAATATTCACGCGATATTATAATGAGCACATCACGTGGTGTTGCGTCCTCATGAATATTCATGCGATATGCTAATGAGTGCATCACGTGTTGTGGTGTGTGCTCATGAATATTCATGCTTGTAGTACTGACAAAAGTTCACCAGGTAGCCTGGAACAGGCTGCAGGGGCAAGACAACTCAAAGACAGACACTTACAGACAACAACAACAACCGCCATTCGCCACGAAGTGGCGGTGACGTCACCACGACGCTTGTGCCAGGCTATGTGCGCGTTGAGGCTATCACGTGAAGTGTCGAACGCCCGCTGGCAGGAGGTCACTGGGCAGACCCAGGTGCCACGGGTCGACTGACTGAGATGACTGGCTGATGCACCACCTGTGCCCCCTGCCGTGCCAACCTGCTATGCTTTAGCCACCCGGCGCTCCGCTCGTTGTTGTGAGCGTCGCTCCTCCGCCCTCCGTTGTTATTGGAGGGCGACTGCCTCCAACTGCCCAGTAGCAGCAGCGTCCTTAATGCTGGTACCAGTCATCGGCAAGTCCACTCAGCTCCACGTCCTCCTGTACCACATCACTCCATCTCTTCTCTAGCCTGTGCCGCGCCCGTTTAGCCCCCTCGATCCGGCCGGACAAAAGCTGTTTCGGCATGCGGTGGCTGGGCATGCGGGCTACATGACCCAGCCAACGCAGCCTTGCCTGCCGGAGGAGCTCACCGATGGGACCTTGCCCAGATCTTTCAAGGATTTGTGAGATCCTCACACAATCCAGCCTGGTTAAACCCAGGATGGATCGTAGGCTTGGCCAGCCTAAATGTTTCTCACCGACGAAGATTTTCCATTAGGGGGTCCATGTTTTGCAAGCGTAGAGAAGAGAGGGAATGACTGTGGCCGAGAAGACCTGAAGCTTCGTGCAGAGCGATAGACCAGGTAGCTTCCACACAGCGTTATGCAACTGATGAAAAGATATTGCCGCTCGACTGATTCGGAGTGAGACCTCTGCTGTCAAACTGGAGCCGGTCATGAGCACACTGCCCAGGTATGGGAAACTCTCCACTCTCTCCACAACTGCCCCATCACCGATTGGGAGTTGTGGGGGTGGAGTGTCCGATGGTACAAAATACCCAGGCAGGTGCTTAGTTTTGATGGGGCTGATGGTAAGGCCCCACCTCTTGGTGGCAACTCCAGTTTCAGCAGCAGCGCCTCCAACTCCTCCTCTGAGTGAGCAGCTATTACCAAATCATCAGCATACATAACGTGGTTGAGCAATAGGGAGCCATCCCTTTACCGCACTCGGGCATCGATCAGCCTCCCATTGTATCTGTACCAAATGGAAATTCCTCCGGTACAGCTATTGAAGGCTTCACAAACTACGTGGTCGAAATAGATGTTAAATAATGTGGGAGCCAGAGGACATCCCTGTCGCACCCCAAGGTGTACAGGGAATGGCTCCGACTCCCGGCCACGTAGTTTTACCCGGACCCGCTCACCATCATGAAGGTCCTTAACGATCGTGAGCAGAGGGTCAGGGACTCCGAAAGCACGAAGAACGACCCAGAGCCCAAGCCCACTGATAGTATCATAGGCCTTGACCAGGTCAATAAAGCAGAGATGTAGGTCTTGTTGGAATTCCCTACACCTCTGCTGTAGCAGACGGACAGAAAATATGACATCTGTGCAGGACCGCCCTTTCCTGAAACCGCATTGGGGCTCCGCAAACCTCTCCTCAGCATGCCTGGCAAGGCGATGCTGAATAATCCTTGCCAGGACCTTTCCCGGCACACTGAGGAGTGAGATGCCCCTGTAGTTGTTACAGTCTGTGCGGTCCCCCTTCTTAAAGAGGGGGACCACCAGGGCATCCTTCCAATCCTGCGGAACCCGTCCAGTGGTCCAGACTGTTGTTGTGATGTCATGTAGGGCAGTCTGTGCACAAACGCCACCCTCCCTCGGCATTTCGCTTGGGAGATCATCTCTGCCCGCTGCCTTTCCTGGTCTCAGGCTCTGGATCGCCTTCAATACTTCCTCAGCAGATGGCACCTCAGCCAGCCACTCACAGCCACTCGGTCACAAACACTCACTGTGATGATGATGCTTGTGATGATGCTTATGATGTTGTTGCTGATGATGATGTTGGTGATGTTGATGCTGATGATGTTGTTGCTGATGATGATGTTGTTGCTGATGATGATGTTGGTGATGATGCTGATGATGTTGTTGCTGATGATGATGATGATGCTGATGATGATGTTGGTGATGATGATGCTGATGATGATGTTGGTGGTGATGATGCTGATGATGTTGTTGCTGATGATGATGATGTTGGTGATGATGCTGATGATGTTGTTGCTGATGATGATGATGCTGATGATGATGTTGGTGATGATGATGCTGATGATGTTGTTGCTGATGATGATGTTGGTGATGATGATGCTGATGATGTTGTTGCTGATGATGATGATGATGCTGATGATGTTGTTGCTGCTGTAGGCAACGTCACTGCTGGGCCATCGATCCTCAGCCACGAAGACATCAGCCTGCCTGGTCATGTCAGGTGAGGGTCACGGTGGCCGTGTGGGTGGGTGGGGTTCACGGTGACCGTGTGGGTGGGTGAGTGGGTGAGTGTGGTTCACGGTGACCGTGTGGGTGAGTGTGGTTCACGGTGACCGTGTGGGTGGGTGGGGTTCACGGTGACCGTGTGGGTGGGTGGGGTTCACGGTGGCCGTGTGGGTGGGTGGGTGGGTGGGGTTCACGGTGGCCGTGTGGGTGGGTGGGTGGGGTTCACGATGGCCGTGTGGGTGGGTGGGGTTCACGGTGGCCGTGTGGGTGGGTGGGGTTCACGGTGACCTTGTGGGTGGGTGGGGTTCACGGTGGCCGTGTGGGTGGGTGGGTGGGGTTCACGATGGCCGTGTGGGTGGGTGGGGTTCACGGTGGCCGTGTGGGTGGGTGGGGTTCAGGGTGACCTTGTGGGTGGGTGGGGTTCACGGTGACCGTGTGGGTGAGTGAGTGGGGTTCACGGTGACCGTGTGGGTGAGTGAGTGGGGTTCACGGTGACCGTGTGGGTGAGTGAGTGGGGTTCACGGTGACCGTGTGGGTGAGTGAGTGGGGTTCACGGTGACCGTGTGGGTGAGTGGGTGGGGTTCACGGTGGCCGTGTGGGTGGGTGGGGTTCACGGCGACCGTGTGGGTGGGTGGGTGGGGTTCACGGTGACCGTGTGGGTGGGTGGGGTTCACGGTGACCTTGTGGGTGGGTGGGGTTCACGATGGCCGTGTGGGTGGGTGGGTGGGGTTCACGGTGACCGTGTGGGTGGGTGGGGTTCACGATGGCCGTGTGGGTGGGTGGGGTTCACGGTGGACGTGTGGGTGGGTGGGGTTCACGATGACCGTGTGGGTGGGTGGGGTTCACGGTGACTGTGTGGGTGAGTGAGTGGGGTTCACGATGACCGTGTGGGTGAGTGAGCGGCGTTCACGGTGACCGTGTGGGTGGGTGGGGTTCACGGTGGCCGTGTGGGTGAGTGAGTGGGGTTCACGGTGACCGTGTGGGTGAGTGAGTGGGGTTCACGGTGACCGTGTGGGTGAGTGAGTGGGGTTCACGGTGGCCGTGTGGGTGGGTGGGGTTCACGGTGGCCGTGTGGGTGGGTGGGGTTCACGGTGGCCGTGTGGGTGGGTGGGGTTCACGGTGGCCGTGTGGGTGGGTGGGGTTCACGGTGACCGTGTGGGTGGGTGGGTGGGGTTCACGGTGACCGTGTGGGTGGGTGGGGTTCACGGTGGGTGGGTGGGTGGGTGGGGTTCACGGTGACCGTGTGGGTGGGTGGGGTTCACGGTGGCCGTGTGGGTGGGTGGGGTTCACGGTGGCCGTGTGGGTGGGTGGGTGGGGTTCACGGTGACCGTGTGGGTGGGTGGGGTTCACGGTGGCCGTGTGGGTGGGTGGGGTTCACGGTGACCGTGTGGGTGGGTGGGGTTCACGGTGACCGTGTGGGTGGGTGGGGTTCACGATGTCCGTGTGGGTGGGTGGGTGGGGTTCACGGTGGCCGTGTGGGTGGGTGGGTGGGGTTCACGGTGACCGTGTGGGTGGGTGGGGTTCACGGTGTCCGTGTGGGTGGGTGGGTGGGGTTCACGGTGGCCGTGTGGGTGGGTGGGTGGGGTTCACGGTGACCGTGTGGGTGTGTGGGTGGGGTTCACGGTGACCGTGTGGGTGGGTGGGGTTCACGGTGGCCGTGTGGGTGGGTGGGTGGGGTTCAGGGTGGGTGGGTGGGTGGGGTTCAGGGTGGGTGGGTGGGTAGGGTTCACGGTGGGTGGGTGGGGTTCACGATGGCCGTGTGGGTGGGTGGGGTTCAGGGTGGGTGGGTAGGGTTCAGGGTGGGTGGGTAGGGTTCAGGGTGGGTGGGTAGGGTTCAGGGTGGGTGGGGTTCACGGTGACCGTGTGGGTGAAGTGAGGCCTACCTTCCACGTGCTCGCCCACCTACCCCCCCTCCTTGCCTGGCCCTGCCCCCTGCCCCCTGCCGGCCGAGGCAGCGTGTGGGTGCGGACCGAGGGGGCTGACGTGGAGGACCCGGGCTGCCACGTGCCCCACATCACGGACGTGACTCAGCTTCGGCGATGTGGATTCAACTCCTCCGCCCGATCCTTCCTCGTGATCCACGGTTGGTCGGTGAGTCGCGATCCCATCCGGGGTGGTGGTGTTTGGTGTAGTGGTGGTGGTTGGTGTGGCGGTGGTGGTGGTAGTGGTAGTGGTGTTTGGTAGTGGTGTAGTGGTGGTGGTGGTAGTGGTGGTGTAGTGGTGGTGTTTGGTGTAGTGGTGGTGGTGGTGTTTGGTCTGGTGGTGGTGGTGCAGTGGTGGTGGTGGTGTAGTGGTGGTGGTGTAGTGGTGGTAGTGTAGCGGTGCTGGTGGTGTAGTGGTGGTGGTGTAGTGGTGCTGGTGGTGTAGTGGTGCTGGTGGTGTAGTGGTGGTAGTGTAGCGGTGCTGGTGGTGTAGTGGTGGTGGTGTAGTGGTGCTGGTGGTGTAGTGGTGCTGGTGGTGTAGTGGTGGTGGTGTAGTGTGGTGTTATTGTGGTGGTGGTGTAGTGGTGGTGGTGTAGTGGTGGTGTTTGGTGTGGTGGTGTTGGTGGTGTAGTAGTGGTGGTGGTGTAGTGGTGGTGGTGGTGTAGTGGTGATGGTGGTGTGGTGGTACTGGTGTAGTGGTAGTGGTGTAGTAGTGGTGGTGGTGTAAGTGGTGGTGGTGGTGGTGTAGTGGTGGTGGTGGTGTAGTGGTAGTGGTGGTGGTGTAGTGGTGGTGGTGTGGTAGTGGTGCTTGTGGTGTGGTGGTGTAGTGGTGTAGTGGTGGTGGTGGTGTAGTCCTGGTGTTCTAGTGGTGGTGTTCTAGTGGTGGTGTAGTGTAGTGGTGTAGTGCTGGTGGTGGTGTAGTGTAGTAGTGGTGGTGTAGTGGTGTAGTGGTGGTGGTGTAGTGCTGGTGTTCTAGTGGTGGTGTTCTAGTGGTGGTGTAGTGTAGTGGTGTAGTGCTGGTGGTGGTGTAGTGTAGTAGTGGTGGTGTAGTGGTGTTGTGGTGGTGGTGTCGTGGTGCTGGTGGTGGTGTAGTGGTGGTGGTGGTGTAGTGGTGGTGGTGTAGTGGTAGTGGTGGTGTAGTGGTAGTGGTGGTGTAGTGGTGGTGTAGTGGTGGTGGTGTAGTTGTGGTGGTGTGGTGGTGGTGTAGTTGTAGTGGTGGTGGTGTAGTAGTGGTGTTGTTGTGGTGGTGTAGTGGTGGTGGTGTAGTGGTGGTGTAGTGGTGGTGGTGGTGTAGCGGTGCTGGTGGTGTAGTGGTGGTGGTGTAGGGTTGGTGGTGGTGTAGTGGTGGTGTAGTGGTGGTGTAGTGGTGGTGTAGTGGTAGTGGTGGTGTAGTGGTGCTGGTGGTGTAGTGGTGGTGGTGTAGTGTGGTGTTGTTGTGGTGGTGATGTAGTGGTGGTGGTGTAGTTGTGGTGGTGTGGTGGTGGTGTAGTTGTAGTGGTGGTGGTGTAGTAGTGGTGGTGGTGTAGTGGTGGTGGTGTAGTGGTGTTGTTGTAGTGGTGGTGGTGTAGTGGTGTTGTTGTAGTGGTGGTGGTATAGTTGTTGTGTTGTAGTGGTGACTGGTGGGGGTGTGGTGGTGGTGTAGTTGTAGTTGTGGTGGTGTAGTTGTGGTGTAGTGGTGGTGTAGTGAACATCGCTAGCACTGGGGGAGAGACAAAGGCGGTCGGGCGTGGTGCTGGCCACCCACCCCCTCGTGTACCGTTCCGGCCTTCATAGGTGCTCGCTAACACCACTTGCCCCTTCAGTCTGTTAAGGCTATATGGGGGATCTTTGTTGTATATATATCTGTGTGTGTGTCTGCACGTGTGTGTGTGTATATATATCTGTGTGTGTGTATATGTGTGTGTGTCTGTGTGTGTGTGTATATATCTGTGTGTGTGTCTGCACGTGTGTGTGTCTGTGTGTGTATATATGTGTGTGTATATATATCTGTGTGTGTGTGTATATATCTGTGTGTGTGTATATATGTGTGTGTGTCTGTGTGTGCGTGTGTATATCTGTGTGTGTGTGTGCGTGTGTATATCTGTGTGTGTGTCTGTGTGTGTGTATCTGTGTGTGTATATATCTGTGTGTATATCTGTGTGTGTGTGTGTGTATATATGTGTGTGTGCGTGTGTATATCTGTGTGTGTGTCTGTGTGTGTGTATCTGTGTATATATATCTGTGTGTGTATATATCTGTGTGTATATCTGTGTGTGTGTGTGTATATCTGTGTGTGTGTGTATATCTGTGTGTGTGTGCGTGTGTATATCTGTGTGTGTGTGCGTGTGTATATCTGTGTGTGTGTGCGTGTGTATATCTGTGTGTGTGTGCGTGTGTATATCTGTGTGTGTGTGCGTGTGTATATCTGTGTGTGTGTGCGTGTGTATATCTGTGTGTATCTGTGTATATATATCTGTGTGTGTATCTGTGTGTGTATCTGTGTGTGTGTCTGTGTGTATATCTGTGTGTGTGTGTCTGTGTGTGTATGTATCTGTGTATATATCTGTGTGTATATCTGTGTGTATATATATGTGTGTGTATCTGTGTATATATCTGTGTGTGTGTCTGTGTGTGTATATATCTGTGTGTATATATCTGTGTGTGTGTCTGTGTGTGTATATATCTGTGTGTATATATCTGTGTGTGTATCTGTGTATATATCTGTGTGTGTGTGTATATATGTGTGTGTGTGTATATATGTGTATGTGTGTGTGTGTATATATGTGTGTGTGTGTCTGTGTGTATATAATCTGTGTATATATATATCTGTGTGTGTGTATATATCTGTGTGTGTATATATATCTGTGTGTGTGTGTGTGTATCTGTGTGTATATCTGTGTGTGTATATATGTATATATATATCTGTGTGTGTGTATATATTTGTGTGTGTATCTGTGTGTATATCTGTGTGTGTATATATGTATATATATATCTGTGTGTGTGTGTGTATATCTGTGTGTGTATCTGTGTGTATATCTGTGTGTGTATATCTGTGTATATCTGTGTGTGTGTCTGTGTGTCTGTGTGTGTGTGTGTATCTGTATATATATGTGTGTATCTGTGTGTGTGTGTATATAATCTGTATATATATCTGTGTGTGTGTGTAGATGATGCCACTGCTGGACACGTGGGTGGGCCCTCTGACCCAGGCTCTGCTGGCCCAACGGCCGCGCTACAACGTCCTGGTGCTGGACTGGCTGGAGTTGGCGAGCGCCCGCTACGGGGAGGCCGTCAAGAGGGCACGGAGGGTGGGAAGAGCCATTGCTGTCATGGTGGAGAGCGTGGAGGTGTGGGTCACGTGGTGGGGTCACGGGGGGTCACGTGGGAGTCACGTGGTGGGGTCACACGCTACGGGGAGGCCGTCAAGAGGGCACGGAGGGTGGGCAGAGCCATCGCCCGCATGGTGGAGAGCGTGGAGGTGTGGGTCACGTGGTGGGGTCACGGGGGGTCACGTGGGAGTCACGTGGTGGGGTCACACGCTACGGGGAGGCCGTCAAGAGGGCACGGAGGGTGGGAAGAGCCATCGCCCGCATGGTGGAGAGCGTGGAGGTGTGGGGGGTCACGTGGTGGGGTCACGTGGGGGTCACGTGGGGGTCACGTGGTGGGGTCACACGCTACGGGGAGGCCGTCAAGAGGGCACGGAGGGTGGGAAGAGCCATTGCTGTCATGGTGGAGAGCGTGGAGGTGGGGGTCACGTGGTGGTCACGTGGTGGGGTCACGTGGTGGGGGTCACGTGGTGGGGTCACACGCTATGGGGAGGCAGTCAAGAGGGCGCGGAGGGTGGGAAGAGCCATCGCTGTCATGGTGGAGAGCGTGGAGGTGGGGGTCACGTGGTGGGGTCACGGGGGGTCACGTGGGAGTCACGTGGTGGGGTCACACGCTACGGGGAGGCCGTCAAGAGGGCACGGAGGGTGGGCAGAGCCATCGCCCGCATGGTGGAGAGCGTGGAGGTGTGGGTCACGTGGTGGGGTCACGGGGGGTCACGTGGGAGTCACGTGGTGGGGTCACACGCTACGGGGAGGCCGTCAAGAGGGCACGGAGGGTGGGAAGAGCCATCGCCCGCATGGTGGAGAGCGTGGAGGTGTGGGGGGTCACGTGGTGGGGTCACGTGGGGGTCACGTGGGGGTCACGTGGTGGGGTCACACGCTACGGGGAGGCCGTCAAGAGGGCACGGAGGGTGGGCAGAGCCATCGCTGTCATGGTGGAGAGCGTGGAGGTGTGGGTCACGTGGTGGTCACGTGGTGGGGGTCACGTGGGGGTCACGTGGTGGGGTCACACGCTACGGGGAGGCCGTCAAGAGGGCACGGAGGGTGGGAAGAGCCATCGCCCGCATGGTGGAGAGCGTGGAGGTGGGGGTCACGTGGTGGGGTCACGTGGTGGGGTCACGTGGTGGTCACGTGGTGGGGTCACGTGGTGGGGATCACGTGGTGGGGTCACGTGGTGGGGTCACACGCTACGGGGAGGCCGTCAAGAGGGCACGGAGGGTGGGAAGAGCCATCGCCGGCATGGTGGAGAGCGTGGAGGTGTGGGTCACGTGGTGGTCACGTGGTGGGGTCACGTGGGGGTGTCATGAGGGCACGGAGGGTGGGAAGAGCCATCGCTGTCATGGTGGAGAGCGTGGAGGTGTGGGTCACGTGGTGGTCACGTGGTGGTGGTCACGTGGTGGTCACGTGGGGGTCACGTGGGGGTCACGTGGTGGGGTCACGTGGGGGTGTCAAGAGGGCACGGAGGGTCGGCAGAGCCATCGTTGGCATGGTGGAGAGCGTGGAGGTGTGGGTCACGTGGTGGGGTCACGTGGTGGGGTCACGTGGGGGTGTCATGAGGGCGCGGAGGGTGGGAAGAGCCATCGCTGTCATGGTGGAGAGCGTGGAGGTGGGGGGGGGGGGGGTCACGTGGGGGTCACGGGGGTCACGTGGGGGGTCACGTGGAGGGGTCATGGGGGGGTCACGTGGGGGTCATGTGGGGGGATCATGAGGGAGGGATCATGGGGGGGAAGATAATGGGGGGGGGGGGGGGGAGATGGTAGAGATGAATGCGCAAATGAGCGGGCGAACGAGCTCATGAATGAATGAGCGAGCGAGTGAGTGAATGAATGAGCGAGCGAGCGAGTGAGTGAGTGAGTGAGTGAATGAATGAGCGAGCGAGTGAGTGAGTGAACGAGCGAGTGAGTGAGTGAGTGAACGAGCGAGTGAGTGAGTGAATGAGCGAGTGAGTGAGTGAGTGAATGAGCGGGCGAGTGAGTGAGTGAGTGAGTGAATGAGCGGGCGAGTGAGTGAGTGAATGAGCGGGCGAGTGAGTGAGTGAATGAGCGGGCGAGTGAGTGAGTGAATGAGCGGGCGAGTGAGTGAGTGAATGAGCGGGCGAGTGAGTGAGTGAATGAGCGGGCGAGTGAGTGAGTGAATGAGCGGGCGAGTGAGTGAGTGAATGAGCGGGCGAGTGAGTGAGTGAATGAGAGGGCGAGTGAGCTCGCGAATGACCTCACGAATGAATAAGCGAGCGGGTGAATGAGCTCACGAATGAATGACTGAGTGAATGAGCGGGCGAATGACCTCACGAATGAATGACTGAGTGAATGAGCGGGCGAATGACCTCACGAATGAAAGGGCGAGTGAGCTCACGAATGACCTCACGAATGAATGAGCGAGCGAGTGAGTGAATGAATGAGCGAGCGAAGGAGCGAGACGCCTCCTGATTGGCTGCTGCCTCCCCCCCTCCCCCCTCCCGAAGGAGGTCACAGATCACGGGGCTGAGCGCTGGCACCTGATTGGCTACTCGCTGGGGGCCCACGTGGCCGGCTTCGCCGGTCATCACGTGGGCGGTGGTCGCATCGGCAGAATCACAGGTGGGGTGATGATGATGGTGGTGATGGTGGTGGTGATGGTGGTGGTGATGGTGGTGGTGATGGTGGTGGTGATGGTGGTGGTGGTGGTGATGGTGGTGGTGATGGTGGTGATGGTGGTGGTGATGGTGGTGGTGATGGTGGTGGTGATGGTGGTGATGGTGTTGGTGATGGTGATGGTGGTGGTGATGGTGATGGTGGTGATGGTGGTGATGGTGATGGTGGTGGTGATGGTGATGGTGGTGATGGTGGTGATGGTGATGGTGGTGGTGATGGTGATGGTGGTGATGATGATGGTGGTGGTGGTGATGGGTGGCGGGGGGTGATGGTGGTGGTGATGGTGGTGATGGTGATGGTGGTGATGATGGTGGTGGTGGTGGTGGAGATGGTGGTGGTGGTGATGGTGGTGGTGGTGGTGGTGATGGTGGTGGTGATGGTGGTGGTGATGATGGTGGTGATGGTGGTGGTGGTGGAGATGGTGGTGGTGGTGATGGTGGTGGTGGTGGTGGTGATGGTGGTGGTGATGATGGTGGTGATGGTGGTGGTGGTGGAGATGGTGGTGGTGATGGTGATGGTGGTGATGGTGGTGGTGGTGATGGTGGTGGTGGTGATGGTGGTGGTGATGGTGGTGATGGTGATGGTGGTGGTGATGGTGATGATGGTGGTGGTGGTGGTGATGGTGATGGGTGGCGGGGGGTGATGGTGATGTTGGTATAATCAACCCCCTATCTCCTCGTGGTGCCGGCCATCAACGTTCTCCTGGACAGTGCCGTGGGGAGCGAGCGACAATTTCGATTTTTGCCCTTTCCATTCACGGCGTCTGTGTCCACCACAGGGGCTAAACGGGGGCTGTGGACGGGTGCGAGGGGCTGGTGACCCCTCCACCTTCAATTAATTACCATGAAACGACGAGTTAAACTGAAATATGTAACTAATAAGCTTGTGCCGGAGGCCCCGGGGGGCCAGGCGTCTATGACGTCTCCTGGCCAAACCCCAATTGGCGGAGCCAGGAGATTGAATACCTACCCTCGGGGCTACTCCAGAAACAACGAAAAGCCACTACGGGTGGCCACGTGGAATGTTCGAACGCTCACTGCAGAGGAGAGGCTGCCACTCCTCTGTCGGGAGCTGGACCGGTACCGCCTGGATCTATGCGGCATTCAGGAGGGTCCGGTGGACCGGCTCTGGCTCCTGCCACCATGAGGGGTGGACAGTCCTCTACTCGGGGCAGCAGACTGCCAAACAACAGGGTGTGGCTCTTCTTTTGAACAAAAGAATGAAGGGGGCGTGGGAGCGTGGCGGTGAGGTGTGGGAAGCTGTAAGCCCCAGGCTACTTTGGGCTCGCCTTCCCATCAAAACCGCGACTGTAAACATGTTAATTTTGATTTAAAGCTTTCCTGACTGCAGGGATTCTCATATTCTTGGTTCTTTCATTAAAGTCGCCACCACGTAGATAGGGAAACAATAAAATAATAAAAATATAAAACAATAAAATTATTGTAAAACAATAAAATTATTATTCTTGGTTCTGTGGGTAAAGTCACCACCACGTAGATAGGGAAACAATAAAATAATAAAAATATAAAACAATAAAATTATTGTAAAACAATAAAATTATTATTCTTGGTTCTTTCGTTAAAGTCACCTCTCTCCCTCCCCCCTCTCCCCCCTCTTCCCCCTCTCTCTCCCCCCCTCCCCCCTCTCCCCCTCTCTCCCCCCTCTCCCCCCTCTCTCCCACCCCTCCCCCCCCTCTCTCCCCCTCTCCCCCCCCTCTCCCACCTCTCCCCTCCCTCCCCCTCTCCCCCTCTCTCTCTCCCCCCTCTCCCCCTCTCTCCCCCCTCTCTCCCCCTCTCTCCCCCTCTCTCCCCCTCTCTCCCCTCTCTCCCCCCTCTCTCCCCCTCTCCCCCCTCTCCCCCCTCTCCCCTCCCTCCCCCTCTCCCCCTCTCTCCCCTCTCTCCCCCTCTCTCCCCCTCTCTCCCCTCTCTCTCCCCTCTCTCCCCCCTCTCTCCCCTCTCTCCCTCTCTCCCCTCCCTCCCCCTCTCTCCCCTCTCTCCCCCCCCTCTCCCCCTCTCTCCCCCCTCTCTCCCCTCTCTCCCCCCTCTCTCCCCTCTCTCCCCCCTCTCTCCCCTCTCTCCCCCTCTCTCCCCTCCCTCCCCCTCTCTCCCCTCTCTCCCCCCCCTCTCCCCCTCTCTCCCCTCTCTCCCCCCTCTCTCCCCTCTCTCCCCTCTCTCCCCCTCTCTCCCCTCTCTCCCCCTCTCTCCCCTCTCTCCCCCCCCTCTCCCCCCCTCTCCCCTCTCTCCCCCCTCTCTCCCCTCTCTCCCCTCTCTCCCCCCTCTCTCCCCCTCTCTCCCCCTCTCTCCCCCTCTCTCTCTCCCCTCTCTCCCCTCTCTCTCTCCCCTCTCTCCCCTCTCCCCCCTCTCCCCCCCTCTCCCCCCTCTCCCCCCTCTCCCTCCCCCTCTCTCCCCCTCTCCCCCCCTCTCCCCTCTCTCTCCCCCCTCTCCCACCCTCTCCCCCCTCTCCCTCCCCCTCTCTCCCCCTCTCCCCCCCTCTCCCCCCTCTCTCCCCTCTCTCCCCCTCTCCCCTCTCTCCCCCTCTCCCCCTCTCTCCCCCTCTCTCCCCCTCTCTCCCCCTCTCTCCCCCCTCTCTCTCCCCTCTCCCCCCTCTCCCCTCCCTCCCCCTCTCCCCCTCTCTCCCTCTCTCTCCCCCCTCTCTCTCCCCTCTCTCCCCCCTCTCTCTCCCCCCTCTCTCCCCCTCTCTCCCCCCTCTCTCTCCCCCCTCTCTCCCCTTTCTCCCCTCTCTCCCCCTCTCTCCCCCCTCTCCCTCTCTCTCCCCCCTCTCTCCCCCCTCTCCCCCCTCTCCCCCCTCTCCCCCCTCTCCCCCCTCTCCCTCTCTCTCCCCCCTCTCTCCCCTCTCTCCCCCTCTCTCCCCCCTCTCCCCCCTCTCCCCCCTCTCCCCCCTCTCCCGTCCCTCCCCCTCTCTCCCCCCTCTCCCGTCCCTCCCCCTCTCTCCCCCCTCTCTCTCCCCCCTCTCTCCCCTCTCTCCCCTCTCTCCCCCTCTCTCCCCCCTCTCCCTCTCTCTCCCCCCTCTCTCCCCTCTCTCCCCCTCTCTCCCCCCTCTCCCCCCTCTCCCCCCTCTCCCCCCTCTCCCTCTCTCTCCCCCCTCTCTCCCCTCTCTCCCCCTCTCTCCCCCCTCTCCCCCCTCTCCCCCCTCTCCCGTCCCCCCCCCTCTCTCCCCCCTCTCCCCCCTCTCTCCTCTCTCCCCCCTCTCTCCCCTCTCTCCCCCTCTCCCCTCTCTCCCCCTCTCTCCCCCTCTCTCCCCCTCTCCCCCTCTCCCCTCTCTCCCCCTCTCCCCCTCTCTCCCCTCTCTCCCCCTCTCCCCTCTCTCCCCCTCTCTCCCCCTCTCTCCCCCTCTCCCCCTCTCTCCCCCTCTCCCCCTCTCTCCCCCTCTCTCCCCCTCTCTCCCCCTCTCTCCCCCCTCTCTCTCCCCTCCCTCCCCCTCTCCCCCTCTCTCCCTCTCTCTCCCCCCTCTCTCTCCCCTCTCTCCCCCCTCTCTCTCCCCCCTCTCTCCCCCTCTCTCCCCCCTCTCTCTCCCCCCTCTCTCCCCTCTCTCCCCTCTCTCCCCCTCTCTCCCCCCTCTCCCTCTCTCTCCCCCCTCTCTCCCCTCTCTCCCCCTCTCTCCCCCCTCTCCCCCTCTCTCTCCCCTCTCTCCCTCTCCCCCCCCTCCCCTCTCTCCCCCCTCCCTCCCCCTCTCCCCCTCTCCCCCCTCTCCCCCCCTCCCTCCCCTCCCCCCCCCTCCCCCCTCCCCTCCCCCCCTCCCCTCCCACCCACAGGCCTCGACCCGGCCGGCCCATCCTTCGAGACGTCTCCGTGGCCGGGTGGGCGTCTCTCCCGTGGCGATGCTTCTCACGTTGAGGTGGTCCACACTCACACGGCGCTGGGCCTCGCGCCCAGCCTGGGCCTGAGCCTGGGCTCCAACCTGGGCTTTAGCATCGGCATCCGCGCGGCCCTGGGGCACGACGACTTCTACCCTAACGGGGGCTACACACAGCCCGGCTGTGACCTCGACAACGCCATCGCCAGCGTGCAGAGGATGGGCATCGTGGGTGGGTAGTGTGTGGGTGTGTGTGTGGGTGTGTCTGTGGGTAGTGTCACAGCCGGGCTACACACAGCCCGGCTGTGACCTCGACAACGCCATCGCCAGCGTGCAGAGGATGGGCATCGTGGGTGGGTAGTGGGTGTGGGTGTGGGTGTGTGTGTGTGTGTCTGTGGGTAGTGTCACAGCCGGGCTACACACAGCCCGGCTGTGACCTCGACAACGCCATCGCCAGCGTGCAGAGGATGGGCATCGTGGGTGGGTAGTGTGTGGGTGGGTGTGGGTGGGTGGTGTGGGTGGGTGGGTGGTGTGTGTGTCTGTGGGTAGTGTCACAGCCGGGCTACACACAGCCCGGCTGTGACCTCGACAACGCCATAGCCAGCGTGCAGAGGATGGGCATCGTGGGTGGGTAGTGGGTGTGGGTGTGTGGGTGGTGTGGGTGGTGTGTGGGTGGGGTGGGTGGGTAGTCAGTCTGTGTGTGGGTGGTGTGGGTGGGTGGTGTGGGTGGGTAGTCTCTGTGTGGGTGTGTGTGTCTGTGGGTAGTCTCTGTGTGTGTGTGGTGTGTGTGTGTGGGGTGTGTGGTGTGTGTGTGTGGGTCTGTGGGTAGTCTCTGTGTGTGTGTGGTGTGTGTGTGTTTGTGTGGGTGGGTGGGTAGTCTCTGTGTGTGGGTGTGTGTGTCTGTGGGTAGTGTCACAGCCGGGCTACACACAGCCCGGCTGTGACCTCGACAACGCCATCGCCAGCGTGCAGAGGATGGGCATCGTGGGTGGGTAGTGTGTGTGGGTGGGTGTGTGGGTGGTGTGGGTGGGTGGTAGTGTGGGTGGGGTGGGTGGGTAGTGTCACAGCCGGGCTACACACAGCCCGGCTGTGACCTCGACAACGCCATAGCCAGCGTGCAGAGGATGGGCATCGTGGGTGGGTAGTGTGTGGGTGGGTGGGTGGGTGTAGTGGGTGGGTGGGTAGTGGGTGTGGGTGTGTGGTGTGTGGGTGGGTAGTCTCTGTGTGGGTGTGTGGGTAGTCTCTGTGTGGGTGGTGTGGGTGGGTGGTAGTGTGTGTGTGGGTGGTGTGGGTAGTCTCTGTGTGTGTGTGGTGTGGTGTGTGTGTGTTTGTGTGGGTGGGTGGGTAGTCTCTGTGTGTGTGTGTCTGTGGGTAGTGTCACAGCCGGGCTACACACAGCCCGGCTGTGACCTCGACAACGCCATAGCCAGCGTGCAGAGGATGGGCATCGTGGGTGGGTAGTAGTGTGGGTGTGTGGGTGTGGTGGGTAGTCTGTGTGTGTGTGTGTGTGTCTGTGTGTGTCTGTGGGTAGTGTCTGTGTGTGTGGTGTGTGTGGTGTGTGTGTGGGTGGGTAGTGTCTCTGTGTGTGTGTGTGTGTGTCTGTGGGTAGTCTCTGTGTGTGTGTGGTGTGGTGTGTGTGTGGGTGGGTAGTGTCTCTGTGTGTGTGTGTGTGTCTGTGGGTAGTGTCACAGCCGGGCTACACACAGCCCGGCTGTGACCTCGACAACGCCATAGCCAGCGTGCAGAGGATGGGCATCGTGGGTGGGTAGTGTGTGTGGGTGGGTGTGTGGTGTGGGTGGGTAGTCTCTGTGTGCGTGTGGTGTGGTGTGTGTGTGTTTGTGTGGGTGGGTGGGTAGTCTCTGTGTGTGTGTGTCTGTGGGTAGTGTCACAGCCGGGCTACACACAGCCCGGCTGTGACCTCGACAACGCCATTGCCAGCGTGCAGAGGATGGGCATCGTGGGTGGGTAGTAGTGTGGGTGGGTGGGTAGTCTCTGTGTGTGTGTGTGGGTGGGGTGGGTGGGTGGGGTGGGTGGGTAGTCAGTCTGTGTGTGGGTGGTGTGGGTGGGTGGGTGGTGTGGGTGGGTAGTCTCTGTGTGTGTGTGTGTCTGTGGGTAGTCTGTGTGTGTGTGTCTCTGTGTGTGTGTGTGTCTGTGGGTAGTGTCACAGCCGGGCTACACACAGCCCGGCTGTGACCTCGACAACGCCATCGCCAGCGTGCAGAGGATGGGCATCGTGGGTGGGTAGTGTGTGTGGGTGTGTGGGTGGGGTGTGGGTGGGTAGTCTCTGTGTGTGTGTGGGTGGTAGTGTGTGTGTGGTGTGTGTCTGTGGGTAGTCTCTCTGTGTGTGTGTCTGTGGGTAGTCTCTTTGTGTGTGGTGTGTGTGTCTGTGGGTAGTGTCTGTGTGTGTGTGTGGGTAGTGTCTCTGTGTGTGTGTGTGTGGGTAGTCTCTGTGTGTCTGTGTGTGTCTGTGGGTAGTCTCTGTGTGTCTGTGTGTGTCTGTGGGTAGTCTGTGTGTGTGTGTGTGTCTGTGTGTGTCTGTGGGTAGTGTCTGTGTGTGTGGTGTGTGTGGTGTGTGGGTGGGTGGGTAGTCTCTGTGTGTGTGTGTGTGTGTCTGTGTGTGTCTGTGGGTAGTGTCTGTGTGTGTGGTGTGTGTGGTGTGTGGGTCTGTGGGTAGTCTCTGTGTGTGTGAGTAGTGTGGTGTGTGTGTCTGTGGGTAGTGTCACAGCCGGGCTACACACAGCCCGGCTGTGACCTCGACAACGCCATAGCCAGCGTCCAGAGGATGGGCATCGTGGGTGGGTAGTGTGTGTGGGTGTGTGGGTGGGGTGTGGGTGGGTGGGTGGGTGGTGTTGGTAGTCAGTCTGTGTGTGTGGTGTGTGTGGTGTGTGTGGTGTGGGTGGTGTGGGTGGGTAGTCTCTGTGTGTGTTTGTGTGTGTCTGTGGGTAGTCTCTGTGTGTGTGTCTGTGGGTAGTCTCTCTGTGTGTGTAGTCTCTGTGTGTGTGTCTGTGGGTAGTCTCTCTGTGTGTGTAGTCTCTGTGTGTGTGTCTGTGGGTAGTCTCTGTGTGTGTGTGTGTCTGTGGGTAGTCTGTGTGTGTGTGTGTCTGTGGGTAGTCTCTGTGTGTGTGTCTGTGGGTAGTCTGTGTGTGTGTGTGTGTCTGTGGGTAGTCTCTGTGTGTGTGTCTGTGGGTAGTCTCTGTGTGGTAGGTCTCTGTGGGTCTCTGTATGGTGAGTCTCTGTGTGGTGAGTCTCTGTGTGTCTCTGTGTGTCGCTATGGGTCTCTGTGTGTCTCTATGGGTCTCTATGGGTCTCTAGGAGTCTCTGTGTGTCTCTGTGTGTCTCTATGGGTCTCTATGAGTCTCTGTGTGTCTCTATGGGTCTCTAAGAGTCTCTGTGTCTCTGTGTCTCTAAGTCTCTGTGTCTCTATGGGTCTTTGTGGGTCTCTGTGGGTTTCTATGAGTCTATGGGTTTCTATGAGTGTCTATGAGTCTCTATGGGTCTCTATGAGTCTCTATAAGTCTGTGGGTGTCTATGAGTCTGTGGTCTCTACGGGTCTCTATGTATCTCTATGAGTCTCTATGTGTCTCTATGGGTCTCTATGTATCTCTGTGTCTCTATGTATCTCTATGGGTCTCTATGTATCTCTGTGTCTCTATGTATCTCTATGAGTCTCTATGTATCTCTGTGTCTCCATGTATCTCTATGGGTCTCTATGGGTCTCTATGTATCTCTATGAGTCTCTATGTGTCTCTATGTGTCTCTACGGGTCTCTACGTATCTCTATGTGTCTCTATGGGTCTATATGGGTCTCTATGAGTCTCTATGGGTCTCTATGAGTCTGTGGGTCTCTATGAGTCTGTGGGTCTCTATGGGTCACTATGTATCTCTATGTATCTCTATGGGTATCTATGAGTATCTATGAGTCTCTATGAGTCTGTGGGTCTCTATGGGTCTCTATGAGTCTCTATGAATCTGTGGGTCTCTATGAGTCTCTGGGTCTCTATGGGTCTCTATGAATCTCTACGAGTTTCTATGGGTCTCTATGAATCTCTCTGTTTCTATGGGTCTCTACGTATCTCTATGTGTCTGTATGGGTCTATATGGGTCTCTATGAGTCTATATGGGTCTCTATGAGTCTGTGGGTCTCTATGAGTCTCTAATGGTCTCGATGAGTCTGTGGGTCTCTATGGGTCTCTATGTATCTCTATGAATATCTGTGAGTCTCTAATGGTCTGTATGAATCTGTGAGTCTATGGGTCTCTATGAGTCTCTATGTGTCTCTATGAATCTCTATGAGTCTCAATGGGCCTGTGGGTCTCTATGAGTCTCTATGAGTCTGTGGGTCTCTATGAATCTCTATGAATCTCTACGGTTCTCTATGAGTCTCTACGGGTCTCTATGAGTCTCTGGGTCTCTATGAATCTCTATGACTCTCTATGAGTCTGTGGGTCTCTACGGGTCTCTATGAGTCTCTATGAGTCTGTGGGTCTCTACGGGTCTCTATGAGTCTCTGTGGGTCTCTACGGGTCTCTATGAGTCTCTATGAGTCTGTGGGTCTCTATGAGTCTGTGGGTCTCTATGAGTCTATGAGTCTGTGGGTCTATATGGGTCTCTATGAGTCTCTACGGGTCTCTATGAGTCTATATGGGTCTCTATGAGTCTCTACGGGTCTCTATGAGTATGTGGGTCTCTATGAGTCTCTATGAGTCTGTGGGTCTCTATTTGTCTCTATGAGTCTGTGGGTCTCTATGAGTCTCTATGAGTCTGTGGGTCTCTATGAGTCTCTATGAGTCTCTACGGGTCTCTATGAGTCTGTGGGTCTCTATGAATCTCTATGAGTCTCTATGAGTCTGTGGGTCTCTACGGGTCTCTATGAGTCTCTGTGGGTCTCTACGGGTCTCTATGAGTCTCTATGAGTCTGTGGGTCTCTATGAGTCTATGAGTCTGTGGGTCTCTACGGGTCTCTATGAGTCTCTACGGGTCTATATGAGTCTATATGGGTCTCTATGAGTCTCTACGGGTCTCTATGAGTCTGTGGGTCTCTACGGGTCTCTATGAGTCTGTGGGTCTCTATGAGTCTCTATGAGTCTGTGGGTCTCTATGAGTCTCTATGAGTCTGTGGGTCTCTATGAGTCTCTATGAGTCTCTATGAATCCCTATGAGTCTCTGTGGGTCTCTACGGGTCTCTATGAGTCTCTATGAGTCTCTATGAATCTCTATGAATCTCTAATGGTC